CATCGTCTAGAACACGCGGTTTTGCGGCTCCATATCCGCGTCAAAGGCACGCCATCCCGGGTTGGGCATGGCAGGGCACAGCATCTCGCGAGATGCTCAGGCCAGAACCGAATTCGAGCGCATTAAAAAAGTAGCTTCGCTGGCGACTTGTTCCTTGACAAAGCTGCAGGTGCTTTTAAGAAGCCCCCCCAACCCTCAACCCTCAACCCTGTGTAACGTGCGTGGAACATCAGGGAAGTGCCTAGCTGTCCGTGGAGAGTATGCTGCGGAGATCGTCGAGGGCCTTGGCCGCCGGCCTGTTGGGTTGAGGGTTTTAGGTTGGGATGTTCACCCTTATACTAACAGTCCTTTATAGGGTTTAGGGTTTAGGGTTTAGGGTTACCCATTGTTATCATCCCTACTAAGGGCTGCTAGGAAAAGGGGGAACATCGCCAAGGAAGTATGTACACGACACTTTTTTGCATCCCCACGTGTACCCAATTCTGTATCCTAAAGCCTAAACCCTAAACCCTAAACCCTAAACCCCTAAACCCTGAACCCTGAACCCAGCTGTGAGGCTTGGCTTCTTTGCGAGTCACTGGACGCGGCCCTGACAAGCCAAATGTGAAGCAGGCGAGGATCAGGACGTTGTGCCAAATGCGATGCTTTTGGGAAGCTGCTCTTGAAGTCATGTCTATTTTGTATCATTCTAAGTTGAATAATTAGTACTGTGTATATATATATACGTATATATGCTACCCGCCCCTCCAAAACCTACCGTTTCCCAATTTTCTACACCTGCATGACATCCAAACGCTGTAAAAATGAGACCGACTCCCTAAATCCTGTTCCCCAACTCTTATTCCCTTAACCTTATTCACCAAATTCTATTGCACAAACCCTTAATTCCAAAGAAATGAAGCCTGTTCCCATAATCCATTTTTGCTAAATCCAAAAGTGCGTCTTGCTTACATCGTATTCCCTAAATCATATACCCTTAATCCCTAAATCTGGGGCGGGGGGGGGGGGGGGGGGGGGGGGGGGGGGGGGGCTCACTAAATCCTAAAGAGGGGATGCTGAAATCTCCCAAATGAGACCCCCCTAAATCATGAAAGAAAGAAACGAACCTGGCTCACTAAATCTTCTCGCTAAATCCTAAAGAGCGGGATCCCGAAAACTTATTCCCATGGTTTTACTCCCTAAGTCTTTTCCCTTAAGCCCTAAAGAGGGGAATCAATTCTGAAGAGGAGAGCCCCTGAATCCAAGAAGAGAACCCTATTTATTCCCTAATCCAGTTCATACCTGCACATTCAAAGGAAACATTTTCGTCGAGAATCCGGCTGTAAGACTACTTTCCATTACGGGGGTTTTCGTATGGGGAAGTACCACCACATTTATGGAATATATTCCGGGGGGGGCCTTATCGGCTCTCGTGGCAGGGGTGCAAAAATCTGTCTGCAGGCTTTTTGTTTTTGCTTGCTGAGCTGCAGTTTGGATCGGTGAAGCTACAGTACATTCCTCTTGGTTCTAAATAGAGAATCCGTACATTGCCATGGTCTTATTATTGCAGAGCCCTGCCTTTCTTTTTTTTGGGCGGGGCACCAATTAAACAGATGCTCGGATTAAGTCTTATCGGGATCCCTAAATCTTGTTCCCTGGGTCCCCTAAGGCCTAACGGTGGGGGCGGGGGGGGCCTAAATCCTAAACAGGAGAGCCTCTAAAGCCTAAAAACATTCCCTTACTTTCGCTCCCTTAATCCTATTGCCTCAGCCCTAACGAGGGGTGGGGTCCTAAATCCTAAAGATGAGAGCCCCAAGATCCTAAAGAAAAATACTCTTCTCTAAAGCCTTTTCGCTAAAACTTAAAGAGCGGGCTCCCTAAACCTTGTTCCCAAAATATTTTATCCCTTAACCTTATTCACCAAATCCTGTTGCATAAACCACAAGGCTGGAGGTCCTTCATTCCTAAAGAGGAGAGCCTTCTAATTCCGAGAATATAAAGCCTGTTCCCAAAATCCTTTTTTTGCTATATCCTGGATCCCTAAATCGTATTCCATATGCATAATCTTGTTCAGAGGGGACTGGGGGTCACGAATCCTAAAGATGGGATGCTTAAATCCCCAAACTGAGAACCCCCCCCCCCCCCTGACTAATAAACTTTCTCGCCAAACCCTCAAGCTTTAGCGAAAAAGATTTGCGCTCCGTATGCTTCTAACACAGATTTTTTAGAAGAGGATTTGGGGACTAAGCTTTGGGATGCCCCCCCCCCCACTTTAGCGCTTGGCGAATATGATTTAGCTTTTACAATTCAGGGACTCTCCCTTTAGGAATGAAACAACCCTAAACCCTAAACCCTAAACCCTAAACCCTAAACCCTAAACCCTAAACCCTAAACCCTAAACCCTAAACCCTAAACCCTAAACCCTAAACCCTAAACCCTAAACCCTAAACCCTAAACCTCTTCTCTTAAGCCTTTAGGATTTTGGGAAGAGTCCTAAACCCTAAATCCTGTTCGCTGAGTCTTCTGGAGCGGGATCGGCTCAAGATTGAGCGAACTAGGGGGGGGGGGGGGGAAGGGCACTAAAAACTCTCCTCCTCAGGACTTAAATAGGATCTTGGGGACTAAGGATCTTTCAATCTTCAAAGCTGGGGCCGATTCAAAATTGAATCGGCCGATTCAATTTTGAATCGGCCCTCAAGCCGAAGATTGAAGATTGAAGATTCTCAGAAACTCTTTCTGGGAGTCTTCAATTTTCAATCTTCAAAGCTGGGGCCGATTCAAAGTGTGGAACGTGCCATGGCCTATTCAATCTTTAATTGGGTCCATCTGTGGAACGTGCCACAAGTATAAAATGGTAGGTTTTGGGACGGGGGGGGGGGGTACCATATATATATATATAATATATATAATATATATATAATATATATATATATATATATTTATACACTCAATTTTATAGTTGAGGGCTTCGTCTCCAGAGTCTTGTGCTTTTGCTTCTGGATGAGAAGGATGCCCTGGCACAAGCTGCTTCCCTGTCGGGGCTTACTGGCCTTTGCGGGGAACGGGGCCTGACGCGGAAGCTCGGCTTCTGTGTTCTTGTGTGCTTCCACAATCACAGTGTGTGTGTGTGTGTTTTTGTAAGAGGTGCGCCTTCGGCAGTGTTGCTCACGTTGCGGCGCCACGCATGGCTCCAGGGACCCTGTGGTCGCGGAACCCTGTGTTTTAAAAGTGCGCAGGGCACAACTCTTGATCCTTTTGAGGCCCCTCGCAATGGCGCCTCTGCAAGGTCTGTTGCTTGGGGTTTGGGTTTTGCTTATCAATGCCAGTACGGGCACTGCCCAGTCCAACACCAGTGATGCCAGTGCTGCCACAAGCATGACACTCAACGCTACACAGTGTTTGGACATCTCCGCGTGTGACGGCCGGCGTGGCTTGGAGGATGGCAGAAGAACTGCGACGCAGCTCCTCCAGGCGCACGTCAGCAGATTGAAGGGAAGGGGGCCAAGTGGAACAAGTGGAAGCCAGCTCAGCATGTCGTCCTCACCGATGATGCAATCGCCTGAGATGCAAAAAGTTTTTTACGTTGTGGCTGGGATCCTCCTGTTGTGTTTCTTGCTGGTGCTAAAGTTCGCCAGTGTGGACCGCCTGGTGGGCATAGCAACCTTCCTGGACCACTTCATGACCACGGCCCTTGAGCCCCTTGCACCGACTGTAACGTCGAACTACCAGCTTATTGCGGTGCTGCTAAGTTCCAAAAATGTTGTGGCTTGCTTGCTGGTACCTTTCCTTGGCAGGTTCATCGATAGGCGCGAAGCGAAATCCGTGCAGCTTGGGATGCTGTGTGCCATGCTCTGCAGCCTGGGTTTTGCCCTGAAGAAGAACTACACCTTATGGGTGGCGATGCGCACCCTGAGTGGATTCTCAACGGCAGCACTTCTTTGGGGGGGCTTTGCGTATCTCAACCGAGTCTACGCCAGCGACCCGACCGCCCGTGTCAAGGCGGTGTCGACAGCAATGGCTGGCCTTTATGCCGGGGTGGTTGCTGGTTCACAGGCTGCTGGTATATTTGATGACTCACGTCTGATGTTTCTCCTCCTCTCGGGCGTGCAGATGTCTACATGGTTGACTCTTCGATACCGATTGCCAGAGCTGTCGCAGCTCCAAGAGCCGATCCCGAAGCCGACTGAACCAGCGGCGACGGTTGACATGCTGGAGCTGATCGCGGACCCAGAAATCAGAAAGCCAACCGTTGCCCTCTTTCTAGGCTTAGCCTTGGAGGGTGCAGCAACTGCCACAACTTGGGAGTACATGACAAGCCTGGGATATGATCACGTGAAGCAGAACCTGACATGGCTGATGGTTACAATTCCGGGCGTCATCTCTGTGAACCTTGTTCCCGTGCTGCGGTCGGTTGCAGACGGTCAGACGTTGCAGAGTTTGGCGCTTCTCTTGGGTGGGGCAACTGCGCTGGTGTACTTCGGCACCCACTACATGTTGCTGGCTCTCACCTTGCTTGGCACCAGCAGCGCGTCTGGCTTCTTAAATGGAAATACAGCAGCTATGTTGGCCGATCGAAGCCAGGAGAAGTACCACGGCACGGGTCAGGTGTTCGTTCTGTCCACCACAGCAGACCAAGCCGCCTGGATTGTGGGGCCCTTGGTAGGCAGCTCTTTGTGCCGATACGCAGGCTTCGCAGTGATGTGCCACGTCATGGGCGCTTGCATGGTGCTCTACGGCATCCTCGTGTCGCGGCAGGAGGCGAAGCAGAAAACGACCTCGGCATCTGATCCTGAGCCGGGTGTGCCCGCCGAAGCCAAGAGATCGCAGTGACGATCATGGTTTAGAACACGCGGTTGCGGCCAGTTGCAGCTTCATATCCGTGTCAAATGCACGCCATCCCGGGGTGGGCATAGCAGGGCACAGCATCTCGCGAGATGCTCAGGCCAGAACCGAATTCGAAGCCCTAGTTGCGCATGAACTTCGCTGGCGACTTGACCCTTGACAAAGCTGCATGGGTTTTT